TTTCTCCCAGATTTACGGTATTTACAATGGAATCAAGGCCGAAAGGTTGCGATATCCATAATACCGAGCCTAAGGGTTAACAACTCATGGCTTCTGGATACTAAAACAACATATGCCACATTCAGATAACTGATTAACTTACTTTACCCGAAGTTCCGAACATATGGTGCTCTTCTTTTCTGTTTCGTATAGTCAGTGGCGTGGCAACCGCTGTGTTCTAGCGGCTAGACGCTCATCTGCAGATCGGAAGGTCGTTAGTTCTGTTTTCCTGACGGGGGACGGTGGGGGGGGGGGGGGGGGGGGGGGGGTTCAATAATAACCTTGGCTCCCACCCTTGAATGGGTACCAGGTACAGTCCTGGAAATGAAAGGCAGCCGGCGTGATGCTGACCACATCACCTAGCAAATGCCTCTGGTCTTTAAAATATAGGTCTAGCCCTATATACCCAATACGCCTAAAAGGCGTGGAAAAGGGTCTGTACTCCTTATTATAGTCAGAGGCGTGTGGCGTTAGTAGTTTTGATTTTGTTTTTTGTTGTCTGTCCACGGCTTTTTGTCTCGCGTGCTTTAAATCATTTATGTCACAGATGATCTTCCATGCCTTGGTGTCAAACTGTGAAGTATCTTCTCTTTTGGTCGCCCTCTCCTCCTTCTTTCCCTGTATTTTCCCCCAGCTAGATATACTGCGCTAGACCCCCATATAATTATAGACCAATCGACAGTGGATCCAGGAAACGGTCAACATCAAATAGGCCGTCTTTACTTCCCGGGAATTTCCTTGATAACTATGTTGACCTATAAATAGACTTGGGAGCTTTATGTCATTTGCTGGGCATCTGCTTTAAAGCGGCTTTTTACCGAAAACCTGCATGCATGAATGAATAAACTAATGGTTTGAAAGAATGAATCAAGAATTGTCATCACATCTCTCGGGACATCCCCCACACGTTTCCCGTCTCCTTCCTCGGTTGCCACAAACGATTCAACATGCTAATAGTGCTAGCAACTGATTCAAAGTCCGCCTTAATTTCTCTATCAGTGTCCAATATCTTCCGAACCTCTACTACCCTTAAGCTGAATAAGTCTTTCGGTGTATGGATCCTCTGTCTGTTCTTTTGCACTGTCCAACAGATCTCCAATGAAAGGTCATCAGACAGCCTTGACCACAGACTTTCGAATTGGCAACTAAGCTACAAGACAATGCGCTATCTCTGTACCGAACATCTTTTGTTAACCCCCCCCCCCCAACCCCCACTCCCTATCGCCCCTTCCCGAGTAAATGACGGCATTACCTTTTCTTGTCCGTACTGACCACATCAAACCTCATATGGACACTCCAAGGGAAATGAAAATAGGGAAAACCAAGAAAGACCCTGCGTATTACCATCATCAGGGAAGGCTCAACCGTGGGCTTAATCAACATCCAAGATCTAAAAGAGGTGACAACAAACCGCCAGGCATAGAGAGCTGTGACCTCTGCCCTAAGCGCCGCATTAGGATCAAGAGGAAAGAGTAACTAACAACTTATCGGAGCGAAACAAGCTGTGGTGGTCGGCCCGAGTTTGTTGGTTAGTGGTTGGTTCACTCCAGTCCAAAACCTCAATAATGAAAAAAAAAAAAAAAAAAAACAGGCCGTTTCCCAGTGTTGCTTTTGATGTCCGATGATTTAGGAAAAAAACTGACCCATTGCCCTAACAATCATGTAATAAAAGGTGAGTAGGAATGTTTCTTTTGTAGTCGGAGTGCATCTGACTGAGAATTTAGGAACCAACAATCTGCATACAAGGGAGCCAAATCTGTAACAGGGATATGCACAGTAAAAACAATTTCAGAAACCGGAAGCGAACGAACAGCTAGATCTTTCTATTGAAGTTTATAGCCGGTAAATGATAAGAAGAATAAGAAGAAAAAAAAACAGGATTCAATCCTATAAACCCGCTAATTTGTACAACAGATAAAGGTTGAAGGTTAAAGTCGAGATGTACAGCTTCGTTACACAAGATATTTTCCAATATGGTTCGGTCACTGTCCGCAGGACGGTAAATCATCTGTTTCAAATAAGGCTACAAAGGCTGGTTATTCTATATTGATAAGCCAAATATATTCGAAACTGTGGAATATAGCATTTTACTTTTAATAAACAACTGCTGAATATAAAATGGGTTACTAATACCAAAACAGCCCAGAAATGGCGGGGTATATTTCCGTCGTCACAGAAATCATACCACTTAAACTGTATTGAAATAAATATCTGTGGAAAACAATTGGAATTCTACAAAGTAAGTAAAGATCCTTTTTCACGCCTTAGACGCATCGGGTATATGGGAAGAGCGTCCCATATTTTTACAGACCAATCGGCACTGGATGGGCAATGTGGTCAGCATTACGCCAGCCGTCTTTACTTCCCCATGACAGCCATCCTGGTACCCATTTTAGGCTGGGTCGACCCACGACTCCTTATACCTTGATAAAAATCCACGCCGCCAGCAGTTGGCTTCGATCACGGTACGTTGAATTACGAGGCTGACTCGCAACGCCTAGGCCACGGACGCCGCTGGAATTCTACAATAAGGGAGTTAATTCGGGACACATCAGTGGGGATAATAGTTATAAAAAGCTGTCTCCCTTTTTAAAAATATATATTTATTCCTCGTTTTCAAGCTAAATAATTTCATAAGGTATACAAGTGCAAAGAATAAAAGAGAAAAGACACTGTTTTGGTCGTTATCGAAAATATCAAGTGAAAATACGGGGCGCCTTAGTCCCGTAGCTCTTGCACAAGCTGCCATTGCTCCAACAATAATATAGCAGTGTAAGCGGCCAAAACACTTAGAATTTAAGAATTCAGGTCCTTATCTACCATGTTTCTACAGGTTTATAGAAAGTTAGTACCAGATTTGGATAGTTCTGAATAATTTCAAAAATTTACCGTCAGATACTGTTATTACAGAACATTCGTTACAGTTGAATAGAGAAAGTACCAAATGTGGCTTGTAGAAATACGGAGATTTGATAAGTCTTCTTCCTAACATTCCAAGCCTAGAGATTTATCTTTTTAAACCGGTCGGTCTCCCAAATGGCCAACCTAGCCGCCCCACTACACGAAGGATATTATGTCAGTAATCCAGGCGGAACGGGGAAACCGCCTCATATGAGTTTTTGTTTTAGATGGCTCTTGGCGATAAGGTTTCATCAGTGACTTGGTTTTTGACCGATCACGGTCCCTTTGGCCAGGCCAGTGCAACAGAGCTACACTTGGATCTAAGCCAAAAGGTCGAGAAGCAATGGTAATGATTTGTGAATATTTTAACAGATTATGAGCACTTAGTTGGAGCTTCTTTTACTTTAGTTCATGAACCATACCCACTCTTACTATCCTCTGTAAATATTTATATTGTTTAACATTTCGTGCCTGGTTGACCATGTTCTTAGTGCAATTGTCTTCATGTCGAGGCGCAGATGCCGTCTGGAGGTGACAGGTTCAATTCTCGGCACGGTAACTATAGACTTCGATTTTTATGTTGTCTAATGTGTTCTTCTATCTTTCTGCTTCTTTCTATGAGTGCCGATCAATACACTTTATGTTACTTGATTAATTCATAATTATATTGTTTAACGTGGCTTAAAATTACAATACACTTTATTATGGATTAACATATAAATGTCAGCTACGTTCTGAAAATGTTTATGGAAGCTGCAAATATGCGCTTTTATGCATGAATGATGAGAAAATCACCGGTAGATAAAAAGGGGATAGAAAGTAAGTTATAAAAAAAAAGTAGAGGACGCTTTTCCACGGCTTCAGGCGTATTTGGTAGATAGGGCTAGACCTACATGTAACAGGCTAAACAACACTTAGTGGGTGATGTTGTTAGCATCACGTCGACCACCTTTACTTGCCAGGACTGTACCTGGGACCCTCTCACGGCTGCGTGGACCTGGGTGTCAAGGTCATTTAAAAACAAGCCCGGCCCCTATTAAGACCCGAACTAGCGACCTTCCGGTCCAAGGCGAGCTCCTAGCTCTTAAACCACGGCGGCTCCCTAAAAAGGGTAAAGAAGTGTCTTAAAATAAATGACAACGAGAAGAGAACTGATTGCCCCCAGGAAGGTTAGCCCCGGTAAACACATGATTGCAGAAGTCGGATGTGTCGGCCGTAAAGGAGGCAAAAATCGTAGTCATGCTATAAAGGGGCGCAACGCAATTTACACCCTTGGAAGAACGCAAAAGAAGAACAACTGATTGCCCATATCTTTTAGAGACTACATACAATCTTTGATCACGTCGTGAAATTGGAAAACCTGGAGTGCATCGCGATGAGGTGAAGGCTGGAGGTAAAACGAGACAAAGGGGTCGTTAAGAACAAAGATTGTGCTCGTTTGACATGGAAGAACAGCAGGCGGTAAATAGACATAGATATCAATGTTGTAGGGAATGGACTCCAAGAAAAAGAAGAAAATAAAAATAGCCAAAGTCTGAGGGTTTCTAAGCTTTAATAATTCGAAGAAACTCGACTACAATAAAGCTATTAGTATTAATGTCTAGAAAAGATAAGGATTGCATAAAGTATATGTCAGGGCTTGCTCTGCGAATGAAGACTAATCTCCGCAACACCCTTTGTTTTTCTATCGTAAGTAAACCTGTAAAGCAAACATATAGTAAGGTAAATGACCTTTTTCATGCTTTCGAACGTATAGGGCATTTAGGACTAGACCTATATTTTATAGGTCATTCGGCAGTCGGTGGGCGTTGTGGTCAACATCACAACATTTGCCTTTACTTCTCCGGACTTTACCTGCTACCTATTAAGGCTACACCGACCGGCTAGGGTGGCCAAGGTTATTAGAAAGAAAATAGATCTCTGCTCAGTCAGGATCTGAATCCACGACCTTCAGATCTGCAGCAGAGCATTTAGCTGCTTAACCACCAGGGCTCCCAAATCTGATATATACTTTATATTTTATATTTTCTCACCTTTTCTGTGCTAGAACAATTACTCACTTACGGACAGGCAGGACTTAATGTGACAAAGAAAGCATAAATACTGGTATCCCCACAGCTGCCAACAACGTTGGCTGGACTGAGAGACTTCACCCAACTTTCTAAACTCTTTTCTGCACAAGTGCATACCAGTTCTGTGCTGTTGGTTAAATCTACGAAGTACAAGCTAGTCAACGCTGGAAACTTTAAAGGAAGTCGAGTCAGTTTGGACTTTTGCAACCTGAGTTCTTTCAGTGCCGGAAGCTTCTTGAACACCTCAGGGGAAATATCTACAATTGGATTGTCGTTTAAATTAAGAAAAACGATTGTAGAATTTACGCGAAAACTTGTGTTGGTTAACGTCTTAATGAGGTTGTGTTCTAAATCGACATTTACTGGTGTAGGTGGGAAATCAGTGGCATGGATCTCTTGTATAACGTTATAGGGAAGTACGATATCTTCTAGAAGGATCAGATCAGACATGAAAGTAGGAATAGATGGCAACGAATTGTACTGCATATTTAGACTTGTCACAAGCCACGGAACAGATCCGAATTAGCATTAGATATTTGATTATGAGATAAATCTAAAACACCAACCTGACTAAGAAAGTCTAGGTGCGGGAATTCGACAAAAAAATTGTTATTCAATGATACTGTAATTAGAGATTCATTGTAGCTTTGCAGCTTGTCGCTCAGAAGATGGACGTCTGAGATGTTGTTGTTATGCAATGAAAGCGTCACCAATTGATCTGAATTTGGTAATGAGGAGATATCGGAAATAAAATTCCTGTGTAATACCAAAACCTGTAAGGAACGAAGTTCAGCAATCGTGCTGGGGATGGTGGTTAAATTGTTGTTAGCTAGAGACAAATGCGTTAAAGTTTTAGCAACTTTGTGAAGTGCGTCATCGGGCACTGAGAAAATTGAACATCCATCAAGAATTAACATTTTAAGACGTTCAAAATACAGGAGCCAGTCCGGATTAGGAGATAACCCAGCGTTCATGAGGTAGAGTTCTTCAACAGTTGGACCAATGTTTTTCATAACGTCAGTGTTCCACTCAGTAATTCTAGCATTAAAAATGTGTAGCATCTTAAGACTGGACAATCTGTATAAAGCAGTTGGAATTCTGGTGATGCCACAGTTGGAGAAAGACAGTTTTTCCAGCGTTGTCAATGAATCATCAAAGGCATGGTCGTCGATCGTTGTTATCGGGTTTTCCAGAAAGGACATCTCTGTTAGTTTCTGTGGCAGCTGTCCGGAGTGTATTGCCGTAATTTGATTTGCCTGTATTTAATGAACATACAAGGGTAAGTCAAGAAATTAGTCATAAGTAGTTGTTTTAAAAAAAAAAAAAAAAAATTTGATAACACTGAAAACTATTTATTTTCATACACACAGTCCCTTTATTTGCGTTTTCATCGCAATCTGAAGGTCGTGAATTCGTTTTAGGAATAGTCTGTGTCTTGCGGTAAACGAGAGAGAATTTTTTTTGAAAATTATTATGAACTGTCCCTGGAGTTACGGAGTTCGAACTATTGTGCGAGAGAGTTGGAAAAAAAAAGTTTTTGTTGCGTATCCTTTACTAGACATTGCAAAACCGACCCCAGCATATGTTGGCTTTTGTGATCTTTTTAGGTCAATTTACGACCAGTAGTTTGCCACAGCTTTCTGGAAAGCGGCTCTCGATAAAATCATCGAAACCAATACAAGACGCAAGACCTACAGCTGGGATCGAAACCAGCACCCGGAATTAGAAGCGCTTTTGCAACGCCTAAGCCACAGACGTCGACTTATGAGAGAGACTGAGCCATGAAACCTAGTACAGTGAAGACGATTATTTCGAACTCAAATGATCTATTTAGTTCCCCTCTCTCCCTCCACCCCCCCCCCCCCCCGGCCACCACTTTGTTTTTCATTATCCCAGTGACCTACATGGTGGTAAGATGGGGGTTTATCGTAAAATGTAGGCACTTTGCATGCATAGACATATATTCCTGGTGAGGGGGTGGGGCGTTCTACGTGGTCTTAAGGCATGGTGTCTGCCACGAGTGCTAGAGGTTCCGGGTTCAATCCCCGGTAAAGGCTGAGATTTTATCACGTGGACTTGGACTTCTAGTACTTCCCCCCTGGTCTTTGGTTAGTGAAATTCGACTCCAGTGTGCATTGTTGCGGACGTAAAAAAATATCCCAGTTGGATATTGCAGTTGGAAATTGAAAAGAATAGCCCAACGGCGCCGCCGGAGCAAAATTTGGAGTTACAAATTTACCCAAATTATTACAGGATCCTCGCCGGTGTTTGTGCACTGTGCTGAGCTTCTTCGGACTCGGACTTTGAGTTAGAAGAAGAACGGGAAACTTATAGATTACTACCTGTGTGCATGATGTTGATCCGTTGTTTAAACTTCAAACCTCTACCCGTGTGCCATGACGTTGATTTATTGTTCAAACTTTAAACCTCTACTCGTGTGTTGAGTTACCTCTGTTTGAACTTCAAACCTCTACCCGTGTGCCATGATGTTGATTTTTTATCTACCCGTGATGCCATGATTGATTTTTTTCAAACTTTAAACCTCTACCCGTGTGCCATGATGTTGATCTGTTGTTCAAACTTCAAACCTCTACCCGTGTGCCATGATGTTGATTTTTTGCTCAAACTTTAAACCTCTACCCGTGTGCCATGAGGTTGATCTGTTGTTCAAACTTCAAACCTCTACCCGTGTGCCATGATGTTGATTTTTTGCTCAAACTTTAAACCTCTACCCGTGTGCCATGATGCTAATTTTTTGTTCAAACTTTAAACCTCTACCCGTGTGCCATGATGTTGGTCTGTTGTTCAAACTTCAAACGTCTACCCATGTGCCATGATGTTGATTTTTTGCTCAAACTTTAAACCTCTACCCGAGTGCCATGAGGTTGATTTTTTTTGCTCAAACTTTAAACCTCTGCCCGTGTGCCATGAGGTTGATCTGTTGTTCAAACTCCAAACCTCCAACCTTATATTTCTAAGCCCATATTTGTATACATAGTATTTGATTGATATAATCAACATCGGACTTTTGAAACGCCCTAAAAAAGTTGCCGCTGATGCTCAACATAACCTCTGATATTTCTTTTTGTTATTTCCAAAGACAAACTAATCACACCCTGGCTTTGTCCCTCTGTGTTTTTCATTTATAAATTACTAAGGCCTATCGTTAACAACCTACCATATGCTGACGATTTAGTTTTTGATGGCTGAAAAAGAAACACAACTGCAAGAAATGAAGGACATAATTGTAACGGAAAGTGAAAACAATGGTCTTAGTTTAAATAGTAGAAAAACCGAAGTTATGGTAATTACAAAGAAAACTGACCCTCCAAAATGCAACCGCAAAACAAATGCGAAAAAACCTCAAGAAAGTTGATATTTTTAAGTACTTGGGTACCCTGATAACATCAGATGGAAGATGTATTCATCATCATGAGGTGCCTTGCCGACTGGCGTGGGGCGATCATGCCTCTCCATAAACTGCCATCTCCTGCAGCATGTATCAGTTCGTGTGCTGACACACCTCCATGCCATGCAACAAGACCGTCAAGCATCTTCTCTCGTTGTCTTCCTCTATCTCTCCTTCCACATGTCTTTCCAGTGGTCACAACATGTTCTATTTTCCCTCTGCTGAAGATGTATTTAGGAAGTTAAATATCAAATAGCTCAAGCTAAGGCAGCATTTTACACACACACACACACACACACAAGAATATTTTATGCAATATTTCTTTGTCAATTGAGACGAGAAAAGAATTCTTGAAGCTATATAAATCCTATATTGATATATGGACACCAATCATAGGCAGTTAGTAAATTAGTGAAAAATTTTGTGGCAGCTTCGCAGATGTGGTTTTATAGAGGAGTGATGAGAATAGCCTGTACAGATAGAAATAAGTAATGAAGACGTCTTGAAATAAACTGACTCACGAAGACAACTGATTGGCCACATCAGAAAGATACAATCTTCTTTGGTCGTGTGATGGGAAGGAGACAGCTGGAGTAAATCGTGACGGTAGGAATGTTGTAGGGGGGGGGAGAGGCAGAGGGAGACCAATAGGAAAGACGCTGGACAGTTGGACATCATGGCATGGAGGATCATCTGTGTCAGAGTTGACTGAAAATGCACGAGACAAAAGGTTGTGGACAACCATCTCTCAGTTAACAATACTTACCGAGAAATCTAAGGTTGTCAAACCACTTGTGTTTGTACTGATCAGTGCTGGTATTTCCGTCAGGATGGGGCTTCGGGCACTACATTCAATAAAATCACTTACACAAATGCACGCCTGGAATAAAAAGCATGAAAAATAAAGGACGTCGACGCAGAATATATTTTACCAGACATAAGGGCATCTGAATTAAAACGATGAATGTGAATATTTTAAAGCGCTGACTACTGTTGTACAGGTGGAACGTGGTAACTTCTGGAGAATAATAATAATATTAATAATAATAAAATAATAATAACCAGATGATAATGAAGAAAAAGAAGAAGAGGAAGAAAACAAGAAAAAAGAGAAGAAGCAGCAGCAGAAGAAAAAAGAAGAAGAAGAAGAAGAAGAAGAAGAAGAAGAAGAAGAAGAAGAAGAAGAAGAAGAAGAAGAAGAAGAAGAAGAAGAAGAAGAAGAAGAAGAAGAAGAAGAAGAAGAAGAAGAAGAAGAAGAAGAAGAAGAAAATAATATGATTAACGAGGTTTAGAGAAAAAAAAAAGTTAAAATCAAAAATATGCGGAACAAAGTAAAACGATAAGAGGAATAACATTGAAAAGATGAAAGAGGAGACAAGTATGAGAAAAAGAAGTAAGAAAGGCTGTCTATTTGATTGACATATTATTTTCTTTTGCATCCTAGTTAATTATAATAATTTCACGAAAAAATTAAAAGGCAGAGAAAACAATACACCCACAGACAGATTTATAAGAGGATCGATTTATTGAAAAGAAGTTGGACTGAAAGAGAAGCCATATTAGCAGATAGAAGCATATAGATAGACAGAGTAAAAAAAAAAAAAAAAACAACTTTGTCTGCTTCTTCGTAACATTCACTGGCTGTAAACTGCCTATGAAAGTTCTGCTGAATAATCCTCCATTAACGCTCTTTGGATTTGTTCCAGAATTTGAGTTTTTCGGGCAAATTATATTTACAATCTGTATAATTTGTATGCAGACTTTTGATTCCTCGCCTCTCAAGCAGATGTACTGCAACTTAAAAGAAAACATTCTCTAATTATTCGTCTTTTACGACATGCTTGATAGGGGACTGTGTAGGTATTTTTTTTAAACCCCCTCCCCCCCCCCCCCATCCCCAACGGGGGCCCGAAAGCGGCACCACTAGTAAACTGCCAAAACAATTGGTGCTTCGACTATTTGATTCAAGATTTGTTGTTTTTTTAAATAGACCACCAGCTCTCTGTAGACGACATGGTCAACATCCCACCGGCAGCTTTTACTTCCCAGCACTTTACCAGGTACCCATTCGAGTTCCTGGAAACCAAGGTAATTGTTTAAAACAAATCTAAAATTATGCAGTTTCATACCTACGACCTCCCTGTGAGAAAGCCACCATGTAGTAGCTACACCCCTGCGGCTTCCTGTATGCTGTTTGGATTGACTTTAAAAGACTAGCAGGCATGAGTACACGACGTCACGTACACATACGAGGTGGGTTGTCGGTGCAACGGTTGAAAGAATCGTGTCAGCTAGTCCCTAAAACTCCCAGCACCCAGCAAGATAAACTTGCCTTGGCGAGAAGCACCTTGCTAACTGGCGCCTGCCCAGCCGAGGGTAACGCTAGCTGTACAATTAGATTATGATCTCTCCCGCCGTAGGAAGCAAACTCCTCTCCCCTCTGTGCGATGCTCTTGGCCTTTCCTTCAGTCATTTCTGATCCTGTCTCTACCAGTTACATCGACAATTCATCGTCGACATTTTGTTTCTTGTTTTGATATTTTTTGTATTTTTATTTTCTTGTTAATGTCCACGTTTGTCACGCTAACACAATGTTGTTAAAACAACAGTATCGAATCGTTTTCTGCTAATGTAAACTTTTAACTGTTTGTCCTGAAAAATATGTGGTATCTGTCTAGTTATTTGATTTGCTTTATTGCATCTGTGTTCTATCTCTTCTTCCATTTTCCCATTTAATAATGTTATGCTACCTAGATACTTGAAGTCATCTGCTTGCTTAAGTTGTTCGTTTTCTGTGCATATCTCGCTTTGCTATGGTCAAAATTTGGCCGTGCTAACTTCCCAGATAATTTCCTGCTACCCACCCAGTTTAGGATAAATCGGTTATGAGCCCAGTTCAGCACGTGAAAATACTAGCCTCGAGATGGATGCGAACAAATCACTATAGATCCATGAGTTAATAACCAAATCGCAGTTCCACCTTCATAGAAAAATGGTCACCTCACAGACACTTGGTTCCTATGCCTAAGACCACACGGAGTAACCAGTCACTGTCTCTTATACAACTAAAGAAAAACTACTGCAGCCTCGGCAAAATAAACCCAGTAGGCTACACACGCATTAAATATATAAGATAGCCATTAGAGATACCAGCACAAACATTTCGTCAATCGAAATAAGGCTTATTGTCGATGGGAGTAGCAGTTACAACAAAACAGCAGTATCACATGCAAATAATCGTATAAGGCACCGCCAGTTATGTGGCAACAGGGCACACGTAATTTTCTGAATCTGCAACTTACGGTGGTAAGTGTGCTTAAGAGTGCAATGCGATGAATTATGGGTGTATATTTCAAGATAGTTACATATACATTTCAGAATGTCAGTAGCCAACCCAAATATTTTTTTTTGCCGTTTGTTGTAAATTTTACATTAGTAGTTTGCCATTGCTTTCTGAACTGTTGGAGTCATGTTGACGTAGCGGCTTCAGGCTTGCCTCCAACTCATAGGTCTTGGGTTCCCGTCCGCATTACATTAGGACATTTTTCAAAACTGACCTTAGCTCCAAAGTTGACCCAGCCTAAAATAGGTACTAGGTAATATCCTGGGAAGCAAAGGTGTCCGGGATGATGTTGACCATATCACTCATCGAGAGTCCATTAGTTTATGAAAATATGTGTCTCGCAGCATACGCTCGATGGCCATTGGCATGAAAGGGGTCATTTCTGACCTGTTCGACAGTTGTCCAAATTAGGTCAAAAGCTATCTGCTTTCGTTTTACTTGCAGATGACTTTCTTTTTCTTCTCCTCCTTCTTCTTCTTTTTCTTCCTTTTTCTTCTTGTTCACCAGCTGTAAACTCCGGCGGAAAGTCCTGGATGTTCGCCCATTTCTGGACTTTAGTCCTGTTCCAGAACCTGAGTGTTGCAATCATATCCCTTTTAGTGCTGTCTCATGTGTATTCAGACTGTACGTTCCTCGCCTCTCAGGCAAATGCACTTCAAAAGGAGCTCCCAATGAGTCGACTCTTACGACATCCTTGTTAGGTAAGCATCGGTACTAGTCTTGTTTTATCCTATAATGGGGCCCCGAACACACACGGAGAGTAGCTGAGCCTAACTCCTGGCATGTCGGAGTTGTGAAACTGCAGCTGTATAGGTATAGAGACCTATATTACCGGTATTGTGAACATAAATAATGTAATCATTATGACTAAACAGTAGTAGTAGGTTTTTACCCCACCAGGTCATCACACACGTGATAAACACCAGATGACACAAAGTGCCACCATCTGGATGAGGATCACCGTGGAGAGGTCCCAGAAACCGCGTTCAGCCATTAGACCATATTAATGGTCGCACTATATTGCGGCTCCTGGCAAGAGCTAGAGTGGGGCTTCAAATAACGAAAAATTTGAATTTCACAAGGAGATGACTGGATTAATGACTAAACATGAGAACCGCAGATTACTAATAACCGCAGACTACAATACAAGAGGTCTACCAAGAAAGAGATGGTTGGAAGAAAGGATTAGAGATGCTGCGGAAACGCAGTGTGACATTACCACGAGCTTCGCGGCTACCAAAAGACAGGAACATCTGTCTCTTATCTACAACGTCTTGCGGGATAAGCAATAGGTCAAAAAAAAAAAAAAAAAAGAAAGTAATCACCTGGTATGGACAGTCAGCAAAAAGCTTGCCCAACATGGCCATTGTACACAACCAGAAGTAGGTGGCAATCGTCATCCTTTCGAGTCTTTAGATCCGGAGCATCCTGCAGACAGTTTTGGTAATGCTGATTTCGAAACACTGGCGTTTCACCCTACCAGAACCTCACAACGAGCAATAAACACCCGGTGACACAAAGTGCCACCATTCGGTTGAGAATCGCCCAGGCGCAAGGCCCAGAAACCCTGTTAAACCGTTAGGTTATATTTAGGGTCCCCAGCGATAGCCGTAGTGGGACTTTAAAAAAAAAACAGAAAAATTGCGTGACCCAATAACTTCAACTTTCAGGACAGGATGTTGTTTATGAGCCAGTTGTCCTGGATATTTAACTTGTGTAGAATGTCGATGTTTTTCCTCTTCTTGATCAATGGTATTCTGATAATTTTTCAGTAACATTTTAATTTGAAAGCTCCGTTATTTTTCTTCCGTGATTGAGTGCGAGTCAAGAACTCACTACAGTAAGATGCCACAGGAAAGATGCATGATCTCAGATGTTTAACTAATTTACAGGTGCTTTGCCATAGGTTCTTCATGATGTTTAATCTCTGCATTGCTAAACAAAAGAAACATGTAAATGAGCACCTAATATACATTAAATGTTCATCTTTTTTTATTTTCTTCTTCTTCTTCTTCTTCTTCTTCTTCTTCTTCTTCTTCTTCTTCTTCTTCTTCTTCTTCTTCTTCTTCTTCTTCTTCTTCTTCTTCTTCTTCTTCTTCTTCTTCTTCTTCTTCTTCTTCTTCTCCTCCTCCTCCTCCTCCTCTTCCTCCTCCTTCTTTTTCTTTGATTTTTTTCTTCTTCTTCTTTTTCTTCTACTTTTTCTTCTTCTTCTTCTTCTTCTTCTTCTTCTTCTTCTTCTTCTTCTTCTTCTTCTTCTTCTTCTTCTTCTTCTTCTTCTTCTTCTTTTTCTTCTTCTTCTCTTCTTCTTTCTTCTTCTTCCTAATTTTTCTTTTCTTTTTTCATCTTCTTCTTCTTTTTCTTCTTCTTCTTCTTCTTTTTCTTCTACTTCTCCTTCTTCTCTTCTCTTCTTCTTCTTCTTCTTCTTCTTCTTCTTCTTCTTCTTCTTCTTCTTCTTCTTCTTCTTTCTTCTTCTTCTTCTTCTTCTTCTTCTTCTTCTTCTTCTTTTCTTCTTCTTCTTCTTACTTCTTCTTCTTCTTCGTTTTCTTTTTCTTCTTTTCTTCTTCTTCTTCTTCTTCTTCTTCTTCTTCTTCTTCTTCTTCTTCTTCTTCTTCTTCTTCTTCTTCTCTTCTTTTTTTCTTCTTTCTTCTTCTTCTCCTCTTCCTTCTTCTTCTTCTTCATTTCTCTTCGTTTTTCTTCTTCTTCTACTTTCTTCTTCTTCTTCTTCTTATTCTTCTTCTTCTTCTTCTTCTTCTTCTTCTTCTTCTTCTTCTTCTTCTTCTTCTTCTTCTTCTCCTCTTCTCCTTCTTCTTTTTTTTTTCTTCTTCTTTCTTCTTCTTCTTCTTCTCTTCTTCTTCTTCTTCTTCTTTTCTTCTTCTTCTTCTTCTTTCTTCTTCTTCTTCTTCTTTTTCTTTTCTTTTTCTTCTTTCTTCTTTCTTCTTCTTCTTCTTCTTCTTCTTCTTCTTCTTCTTCTTCTCCTCCTTTTTATTACTTTTTTATCTTCTTCTTCTTATTATTATTATCCTTCTATTATTCTTCTTCTTATTATTATTATTATTATTATTATTATTATTATTTATTATTATTATTATTATTATTATATTATTCCCATTCCGCTTTATTTATTTATTTATTTATTTTTTTTTTTTTTTTGCTGTAAACTTCGCCAAAACGTTGTGATTTTTTGTCCACATCTCGACTTTGGTCTTAATACAGATCTTCAGTTCTGCGTGTACATCTTTTCTACAGATTTGATTGTATGCCCAGTTTTGCCCTTGCCGTAAGTTAACGTAGGGGGTCAGATTCAGAGTTATTCTCTTGTGCACTTTCTCCCGAGGCTGTGATGACCTGGCTGTGCCTCCACACTGCTCAGTCGCTCTCAATGGACTTGACAGAATCTAGTTTGTCATACGTCATTCTACCACCAAGTGATCTGCCAGTCCGTCTCTTCGTTTCCCAAGACTTGCGTGTACATTAGAGCAGCGGTTCTCAAACTGGGTATTGCGACACTCAGAGTTGCTGCCAGCGTATGCCAAGGATGCCGTGGCAAAAATTAAGAATTGTTCAAAATCGTTTTGATATCAGCGAAGACAGCAGTTTAAAACAGAAATACCATGGAGGAAGCCAAGAAGAGTTCAGGATGCAGGTGTATTCAGAAAACAATGCTATTGGCAAGGCTGCAGTTCCCTCTCAAAGTACGCTTACATTAAAAAAACAGATACAGTATCAACCTTCAAGTGATTTGAGGTTACAATTACTTAAACTTCCCACTTACATAAAGGAAATAATGAAAAATTAATCCAAACGGTTTCGTTCATCGTATTAAAGACAATGGAAAATAAAATGGCATTGTCTTTTTTTTCTTCTATGTATTCAAACCGCTTTAAGTGTTGGTGTGCCGCGAATAAAATTTTTCCCTACAAGGATGCCACGGAGAAAAAAAGTTTGTGAAAAACGCTGCTATAGAGAATATCCAAAGGGCTTTAACTATGGTGGACCTCTGAAGCGCTGCTTGGCACTGTGAGTAGAGGATACCTCTATCACATTTCTCTACATGCTGTTTATCCATAACCCGTTCAAATATAGGACAAAATTAATGTTGCTATTATTATGCCTCATCCCGGATTTTGTCGGGGCCCCTAATATAACCTAACGGTTGAACAGGGTTTTTGAGACTTGCACGGGGTGATACTCATCCGAACAGTGGCGCCTTGTGTCGCCGGGTGTTGGTTTGTCGTTGTCCGGTCCTGGTGAGGTTAAACGCCACTCATCTCTCAACGTGATTTTAAGTCAGTTACAAGTACGACATAGGTTTCCATCAGGTTCCCAAGCCAGCGGGGAAAAAAACACATTTAAATTGTGTATGTGTGTGCATGCGTGTGCGTGTGTTTGCGTATGATCATCATATCTAAAAGCGTTATAAAAGTGTCTCTTAATTACTTACATCATACTTACTGCAGTCACAGTATATTAAATATGCAAGTTTCGCTTAACTTGTGTACATTTGTAGACATAATAATTACCAGATTCAAAAAAGATAAATTAGTCATACCTTCGTTTTGTTTGCCTTGAACTGTGAGAAACTGTCGCACCTGCAGATAAAGTAAGAAATAACAGTAGAAATACACAGCAATCTCTGAGGCATGAACTGAGTGGGTCGATACAGATAAGCTTAGAGTACGCTGTTGGTAAGTCCTAACCTTAAACTGCATTCAGTAATTAACTACACAGGTCAGGAGGGGTCTGAGGGGAGGGGGGGGGGGGGTTTGAGAGAGACTGAAAGAGAAAGATTGAGAGAGAGAAACAAATAGAGACCGAGAGAAAGACTGAGAGAGAGACTTAGAGAGACAGAGATACTAAGAGAGAGACAAAGAGAGACTAAGAGAGACTGAGAGAGATAGACTGAAAGAGATAGAGAGATACAGAGAGACTGAAAGAGACACTGAGAGAGACACCGAGAGAGAGACTGAGAGAGAGACTGAGAGAGAGAGAGAGAAACAAATAGAGACTGAGAGAAAGACTGAGGGGAGACTTAGAGAGACAGAGATACTAAGAGAGAGACAAAGAGAGACTGAGAGAGACTGAGAGAGATAGACTGAGAGAGATAGAGACAGAGAGACTGAAAGAGACACTGAGAGAGACACCGAGAGAGAGACTGAGAGAGAGACTGAGAGAGAGAGAGAGAGAGACAGAGAGAGAGAGACTAAGATGGATGTCCTCTTGCTCTTGTAGCTGATCTCCAGGAGATGTAGTGACTGTGACGGTATCTGATCTTGCTGCATTCTAAGGAGATGGCCAAACAACTTGATCTGTTGTTTCTTGATGAATCTGGTAGAAGGTGTCGTTCACACAATTTTTCTGATAGTATCATTAGTCACTCGATCTCGGATGGGTAGATTGGCGTTGTTGTTTTTTTTTTTCGTTTTTTTTTTTTTCAGGCATTTTATCTCGCAGGTGGTGATTTTGCATATAGTGCTTTAGATATTGTCCATGTTTGGCACTGGTAGCTTAATGTTGGAATGAATACGCTGTTTGTAATCTGTCTCTCTGCACTCTATGAATGTTTGGATGTCTTAATAATGGTGACATTTGATATAATGATAAAGATAACGCTCCCAAAACAAAAGTACCATTAAAGCTGCTCACAGATGAAATAAAGTTTTCTTGGTATGTGGTCAGTAAATGGACACAGAATCTCTGTTCTTATCAAATGTAGGGTACGTCAAATATATAAATGTGTAGTGTGTATAAACTGTGTGTGTGTGTGTGTGTGTTTGTGTGTGTGTTTAAATACCTTATAAGTAAAGGACCTTTTTCCTCGCCTTAAGGCGTATAGGGCTTATAGGGCTAGACATATATTTGTATAGACCAATCGGCACAAGATGGGTGATTTAGTCAGCATCACGCCGGGCGCCTTTACTTCCCAGAACTGCACCAGGTACTCACTCAAGGCTGAGTTGAACTTTTGGCCAAGGTCATTTTTTTTAAAAAGTCGGGCTCCGCCAGGGAGCCAACCCACGACCTTCCGATCCACAGGCGAGCATCTTCTATAACGGTATTTAAATGAAAAATTAAAAACTTAGTTACCTTTTAGTGTTTTGTTGTACCCGTTCAAGAAGTATTTCTTACTATTCCCCAAACATATTTCGACAGCCCTGATTTGGGGCCACATAGCTATTGCTGTCGCTACGGACTGGGGTTTCCCCTAATGTGTAAATTTCAGAAAACTGGCCACACTGACGATTTAGCAAGAAGTTGTAACTGCAGCAATCGCACTGGACTCTTTTGATAAAGTAACCCAAACAGCAGTTCGACACACTAATAGGTATCTGGGTTCTTAATTTATAACGTACCCCAAACATGAAATCCCCGTGGGAAATCCACAGCTGACCTGACAGTCCAT